ATCGGTAGCAACTGCTATACTGTCGGAACCATCCCCCACGTCCTTGTCCCTGGGACTGTGCCTCCCGCTTAGCGTCGAAAAACCGAAACCGCTCCGGGTTCACGCATCCCGCAAGCCCATGCCGTGCGTGCCCGACTTGACCAGATGCGACCCGCGGGAGATGGTAGCAGATCATACATACTCCGCGCCACGTTTCTAGACACCCAATATAGTCCGCTAATCCACGTGCTTGTTCCTGAATCCGAGTCTGAAGGAGCTCCGCCCCGGCCTGTAAATCTCCAAGATCATCATCCCCGTCCGTCTCCTCTAGACGCTGCCTAGGTCCCACAGACGGACTGGCCGGTAGTTGGACCGCACTAGCATCCCGACACCGATCGCACATAGGGGCCTCTCGCGTGCAGGGACTACCGTCACCATCGAGGAAATGAGATAGCTCCAACACTCGACAGCCAATGGCCCCGATATAACTCTGTATTGCCGCCTCAGCGCCGTCCAGTGGTCGTGCATTTCGCTGACTTGTCGTAGCCTTCCACTGTGCGGGAATTAAAACAATCGATTGCCCTCCAGCTTCGTCCCGTCCAAGTCGCCTAACCTCCTGCGCAAAGTCGATAGCACTCCAAGGTACCCCAACATGCACTACCCACCGGACTGCCGGATGGTCAATGCCCATGCCAAACGCAGACGTAGCCACAATATAAGAAGGTTCCCCGGCTCGCCATTGCTGAAGGACTTCAGCCTTCTCCTCGACGCTGCCAGACGTAGAGTGATACACCGGAGCATCGATCATCTGAGCAACCTCCTCAGCCACATCCTTCAGGCTGCAGTAAATAATAGTACGCGTGTCAACCGCTAGGCCTCGAATAACATCTTAGATTCCAGGGACAGCAAATTCACGAACAAAATCACGCTTCGGAGGGCAACGGCTGACGTGGAAATATATATCCCGCCGCATCGTAAGGCTGCGAACCATCCGCGCACTACGTAACAACATCGCCTGCTCGAATTCAGGAACCATAGACAGTAGCATGGTGCCCGTCAGAAATATCATTTGTACCGCTAATTTCCGGAGCATAGGCAGAAGCCCTATTGCAGCCCGATACGACACCGCTGTGATAGCGAGGTGGCACTCGTTAAACACCACCCGGTCCAGTTCGTTTGCGACATGCAACCGAGTTAAGAAACCGCGGAATCGATGTGTCACGGCTTGCTCAACCGCAACTATGATCAGTGGACAGGAATGTAACCGATCCGGATCCGAGTCTGCCTCCCACACATGCGCCTCGATGCCAGCCTCGGCGCATCGCCGTCGTATCTCGGCTTTTAACACCACAAGGGGCAGGATAACTACTGTCGTTCCAGCACCAGGGAGCTGACAGGGAAGGAGATATAGCAGGCTCTTGCCTTCGCTAGTCCTGAGGATCGCTAAGACCTGGCCACTGCCCGCCAGGATATACTCCATCGCCTGCTGCTGCCCACTGCTTCGATACTGCGCATTCGTGCCATACATCCGCTGAAGCACCTCCATCGCTTGGTCCATACGCTATTGCCGCCGAGTCCGAGCAGGAGCCTCCTGTCGCGCGATGCGCCGTACAATAGGACTCTCCAGCTCCTTGTCCCGGTGTCGCTTGGACGGAGTAATCGATGATTGAATCAGTGCACTGCCTGATCTGCCCCCACTGCTGGCTGCCTTCCTCCAAGGATTGCTAGGATGACTATTCGGGCTCTGGTCCTATTCTCCCTAAACCCACGGCGTTCGAGGCGCAACCGGCCGATGCGACTGGGTGAGCGTAGGCTGGAAATAGATAGGGTCTCGCACGAACTGGTGCTAAAGCTGACTGACGTGTCGAAACTCCTGGAGTCCCGCATCCGTTAACCCGGCCCGAAAGTTCACCGTTCCTCTATAGACACGATTGCCCGTGTGGGGGGTATGGCCGGCCTGCCAGTGGATAGCGTCTGATATGCTACCGAGCGCAGGATCCGTCTCCTCCTCATCTCCACTATCCTCGATTAGCAGGTTCGCCTCGGCGCTTGCGAATTTCCGTCGTGTAATACCCACTATGATTTGTCGCTAGCCCTGGACATAGATATGTTTCCCTAGGGTAAGCTTCCCTGTATCAACAATAACCCGCGTTATTACATCCGCTCCCCACGGATCCAGGCCCTGACACTATAGGTAGTCAGAGACGGCCCTAGACTCTGGTGTCTCGTGCTAAAGGAACGCTCGGAACGGCTGAATGAGAGCGAGGTACTGGATCACAAGCTAGGCGACTTCCGGGAGGAGGAAACGAACCGGCTATCGAGACGTATTATTCTAGTTCCGGGTCTTGTGGTAGCTAAGGATAAACAGCATCTGCCTGTTATGGAGAAATAGGTCCCGCGTGATTAAGGTAGTATTCCTCCACCGAAGTGCAATAAACTCGGTGCGACGCCCTTGTTGCCCGGAGCCAATGAAAAAAGGGACTATCAGCGCGCGCAGAAACCGCTGCACGGTATCCTTATACTGTTGCACGGTATCGGTGCGTACCTCCCACGTACCCGCGGCGGTCTGCGACTAGAACGTCTGGAATAACGCCTAGGTCTTACCTACCCGAGAGACCAGCTAGTCCTTAAGTGGGTCGAAATACGATGCGTTCCGCGAGTCAGTTAGGAAGGACTGACCCGGCGCGGTAGTATCCTAGTTATCGACAAGGAGTGCGAGGTCAAGACTAGGAATATCACTCGCAGGGCTAGACCGGCCGCTGAGGCATAGCTCCTGTTCAAAAATCCGCCGAGCCTCCGCAATCCCTTCGAAGACGATCCGATGGAGGTCGGAGAGGTGGAAGATCACATCCGACTATACCAGCGTCTCTTCATCAGCATGCTAGCGGAGCTGTGCTGGTGGAACTTCGGTCTGGCCAATCCGGAAGCCGAGTAACCGATTCTCTAGCAATTCCACGACGGGGCCTTCTGTGTCATTCAACAACCACTGATCCCGAATTTCGACGATCATAGCACTAATGTCCGTATCTTAGTTATCACCCGTCTCGGCTAACACCTGGGCAAGTACTACTATCTGACAATCATAGATCAATTGCGATAGAATCGATGTATAGTTCCCGATAAGCATCTACGCGCCTTGCTGATGGCTCCAGAACCGCACGGCTGTATACGACACTAGGACAGAATCGAACTTGCGATAGCGCACAGTGTGTTGAATAACTACCAGGCTAAACTCGAGAACAGCCCGGTCGAGCCGGTCATAGGAAGCCCCGGTGTCTGCCTCGCCGCTTTAGGGATCTGTTCGACTGGTGAGTTCGCTCGCGGCCTTAGTCACCTCGCACTATGCTTCGAGCTGTCGACTGCTTAGCTGGAAGAGTGTGTCCCGGAGATAGCCTTACTCAACGACTCGGTCCCAGTAGCAGATTAACCGCTGCCAAGTGTCGATATATTTTCGACGAGACTACTGGTTCTGTAGTTCAGTGATAGGATCCTAGGAGGTTTCCCTCTGTGTGAAGGTATTCAGTAGTCGTGCATTGCGCCGGCTGAGGCATCGGGCCTCTACGTTCTGGTCATGCACGAGGACAGTCATTGTTTTCTCTAGAACCCGTCCGATACTCTCACAGATCAGGAATAACAACGGCTCGTCTTGCACCCGAGGGAGGTAATAGCTAGGACCGAGTTCTTTGAGCTCCAGCCCAAGGAGATAGATGTAAATACCGGTACGCCTCATCCACGGCGTCAACTCGGAAACGTGCCGCGCGGTCTCTACACAATCTCGTTGTGGCTGAGATTGACTCTGTTGGTACCGTCCCATAATTTGATTCCATACATTATCTGGTACAGGAGTGGGGGAGACGGGATGTGGGTCGATAATGGAGCATTCTCTAGTGCATTGGCATAGGGATATATATATTGTGGAGTAGCGGACTAGTGGGTCTAGTCGGCCAAAACCACAGCAAAGTACTGTTAGCATTGCTTCTGCTGAAATAACGTCTGAAGGTACGCCTTATGCCATGGGATAGCCCCTTGACGTAGAACTTGCCATTGATGTGTTTTGTTATAATGTTGTCGCATCCAATCGGTGCTGGTCGAACGAAAGTCGCAGTTGGGGAGGTAGCAGAGGAATCCCAGCACGGTCGGCAGGCCACGAACCTCGTTAATGCCATCTCGTGGGTGAACCACACCAGCGTTGGAGGCGGCGACCGGGTCTAACTCGCTGGAGGATGCAATTCTTCGTCGCTGGCCGCTTTGTAAGTGATGTTTCTCTAATAGATGACGGGAGAGATTCTGTCGTGTGTAGCAACCCCCGTGTGTGGTGCAGAGTACCACATGGAACGCTGGCAAGACTCTGAGGTACGAGGGAAGCGCTTCCAGTTCTGGGACCACCACGGACTCTACCGGGCTAGAACTACGCATAGACATAATAGAAAGGTCGGAGATCCAGATCCTGTGGTCAGAATACGAAAAATATGTTGATTTGAGTAGAGAGAGCTTTTTGAAGAACAGCGGGATTTCCCCTGAAGAACAGCGGGCGCTAGTAGATTTTTGGTTTAGCGCCGGGAAGCTTTTGTTAGTAAGGTTGGTGAAGTACGCTGTACTTCAACGTGGACTATATACAGGGATATCCACCCCCATACCTAACGCACTGGTGGCCGCAATCACTCCATTTGCCGCACTCCGGAACTGCTTCAAAATGCCCAACTTCTCATCCTGGTTGCTGTAAAATGCGGCACATCCTAATATCTCCGCCGCCTGGGTCACAATGGACTTGGTGCTGCCGTACACAATTACTCGGCCGGGCCGCGCACGCTGAATCCGTTCACGAATAAACTACCGGACACCGGGATCCTCTAACCACTGGTTCTGGGAACGATATTTCAACGCAATGGTGGGCCGGTACACCCGATATGCGATATTGTAGCGGCTCGTCCGCGCGCGGTACATGCTCACCACGTTCCGCTCCACCGCCATGCGCTGAAATAACCGGCTCTCCTCACATGGGGGCAACGTGGCGGTCAAAAACACCATCTGCGCACCAAACCGATGCATTTGACCTAACTGCTGTAACCGCGGCCGGAATTTCTCCGACGTGTTCAACATAACATGGCATTCGTCAATGACAATCCGGTCCAACCGTATGTTATCGCGCTGCCGGTTCAAAAACGACTGGAATGAATCCGTGAATACCGCCTCGGGCGTCACAAACACAATGGCCGCGTGGTCGGGATAGCGATGACTCTCCCATTCGACGCATGAAATCCCGGCGGCCTCGCATCGGCGCTGTAAATCGGAACGCAACGCGGTCAACGGAACCACCACGATCGTTAACCCGCCTCGTTGGCCAACCCACGCGGGCAACATGAATAACATACTCTTGCCCCCGCCTGTCGGCATCACCACCACGACCCGGGAATCGCCCCGTTTGATGGCATCAATAGCCGCGCCCTGGACGCCCCGGAACTGCATTGTGGGGTCGCCGGTCATCCGCTGCAATGCCTCGGTCATATTGGTCGTCTCGACTAAATAGCGGCGCTGATCGCGCATTTGTATATCGTCGTCCTTCCACCGTGGCCGGGCTCGCTTGCCCAATACGCTACTCGGGATGTCCTTGATGTCAAACCCTAAAAAATCATGCCAATGCACGCTGCTGGTCCGGAATCCCGCCTGACGACCCGCCGTGGTCCCTTGCTGCTGGGTCATCATACGTCCGTATGCCATCTCGGCGATATGGGTGGTGTGCGCGGCCTGCAAATCGGCAATATGGCGCACCCACTGCTCGTCGTCCATATCGTCCTCGTTCTCCTCGTTATCGCTGATGACCTCGGTCCCATCCTCGCGGACGTTGTGCGGGAACGCTTTGACACTACCGAAATATCTCCGACTGATCGCGATGGCAATGTCTCGGTACGCGGACAACGACAATCCGTTGTGTAAACGCATCTTGCTTTCCCGAACCATCACATCCGTCACCCGCGTGGGCGTCCACTCCCGTCCAGTGCCGGCATCGAAACCCCACATCTTGGTGGCGTGCGTGTCGGGAACGGCGTCCAAACGGCATGCCTCTTCCTGGAATGCCTGCAACATCTCGACAAATAGCAATACCAACCACAAATACCACACAACCAACTCACCTACTTCACGGGGTACGTACCGATGAATCACCTTGGCGTCCCCGCTAGCGTAAAACCCCTTGTGGTATCGGGTGATAAATGCCACCAATCCATCCTCGATGAACACGTTACGGTGCCCACCGGCGGCGCTATTGCGGTGACGGATACTCAACAACTCGGGGCCTCGCGGGGGCTGACCGCTAGTAATGTGGACTAACACGGCCAACTTTTCCTTGAACTCGTTGACGAACCCAAAAAACCGGCCGATAGCATCGACACTGAACCGATTGGTGTTGGCTTGCATGAACAACCGCTGCAATGGATGCTCCTCCTGTACCCGATCCACCATCCACCGGGACCCATCGACGGGCCACGGCGTGCGCTCGTCCTGCAAAAAACTCCACCCGGCCTTGGGTTGGTTGAAATCATCGGCCATACGGTCCCATGGGATAACGGGAATCTGGTCGGGTTGGCACCGCAAAATCTGGTTAATCATCAATTGCCGTGCGCTAGCCGTCAACCCATGGATGAACCCGCGGAATGCCCCCATCGTGAACCGCATCGTTTTATACGACAACTCGTCCCCGTTGGCCCAACCGATGTGCCCGGCGGTGGGGGTGTTCATGTGGATCTTCATCCCATACCGGCGTAAATCCATCATCCATTCCATCGGCCCGGCGGTGCCGTGCACCATAAACCCGGTGACCATGATGCGAATCCATTGGCGCCATGTCTTTGGGCCTTCCTGTGCCTGCTGGGTAAATACAACCGGTGGTGGGGAACTATTGGGCAAACTATCCAACGCGGGCGAACTGGACGGATAATCCGGGGTGGTGGCTTGTCGTGGGGTCTGGGGTGCGGGCGGACTGCGGCCATCCCGTTGATGCGAAAATATATAATCGACCGGGCTGGGATCATCCCACTCCCCCACCAGCTTTTTCTCCCCGATTTGTAATAACTCGCGGGCATTCGGGTCCAACAAAAACGACTAGTGCACGACGACAAACCGGGACACCTTGATCACACTGGATAAAATCGGGGGATAACTATGGGGATCCTTCCATGGTCGACCGCCGTTATGGTCACTCACACCTAATACGGCCAATGCACATACTAACGCCAGCTCGTACTCGGTCGATCGAATACGCTGGTTTAATAATTCAATCATGAATTCCATGCAATCGGCTTCCACGGGTTGTAATGCGTCCGGGTTCGGGTCGGTGCCGTCGGTGGGGATCGGCTCGGGCCGGTCCTTGTGGCACTCGGCGGAATACTATAATGCATCCCACGCCTTGCGTTGCCGTTTGCTGAACCGGTACACCGGACTATTCCAATCATGCCGAACTTGGGTGCGGGCGAAAAACATCAAAATGCGGCGCCATGGGTCAACATGTCGCTCCAACTCCTCGTCCGCCTTCATGTATGCCTGCAATGGCTTCGACGGGATCTTCTCTATATCGGTGCGGGCGGCTTCAATCCGTAACAAATGTCCTGTCCGTTGGGTGATGCTCTGGCTTTTACGGGCAACGCCCAACATGGCATCCCAAATCACCCGCGCGGTACCCTCATCCCCCTCCGCATCTTCCTTCGGGCTTTCAATGCATATACGCAATTCCTTGGACTTACGTCCGCGTAAATACGCCGCCCATCCGGTTCGGTCCAACCACGGATTGGCTTCGTCGATATCGCCGGGCCGGATCTCGGCTTCTAACTGTATTTTCCGTGTAAACACCTCGCGCAACTGGTCAACGGCTTCGGCGACTTGCGTGGCCTGGGGGGTGGTGCTTCCGGCTGGCACGCAGCACCGGGGTAGCGAACATGGATGTAATGCGACCCTAATCCACGTGGGAAAACCTGCTGGCACACAACTGACTTGGCCCCCTCCTCTTGTTTCTGCTTTCCGGCGGCGATCTCGGATGGTCGTGGCTTGCCCCCATGGCCGTACGCCGAAAACCGATGCTCCTTCGACCAGTGCACTCGTAAACTCTCGCGACTGCGGTAAATCTGCCTACAAAACTGGCACTGTAACCCATCTTGGTAGATTGGTAACGCCGGAATGGGGCGATCCACGGCCGCGGGGAGCGACCTAGTCTCATCCTCGATGCTGTTCCATTCATCGGTTTGGCGAATAATGTCTAGTACCTGCTCTGCGACGCGTTTGCTGATACGGTGCTTGCCCTTAATGTTGGTTAAATGGCGTACTATCTCTCTGGGCCTTACGCCACGCTCGCACTGGCGACAAATGGCAACTCCCCACTGCCGGTTGCATATGAAATACTGGTCGGCAATGGTGGGTTCCGCGGGTTCACTTATGTTGAACGTGGATATATATTGAACAATACTGTATATCCGCTGAATGTGTGCTGGGAAAACCCTATCGCTGGGAACTGCTTATTTGTTGATGAAATTGAAACTGGGCATTCATTGTAGCCCCTGAAATTCCTGACGGGATTTTCAACCGAATTGACCTAATAATACGTGTGTGATGAGTCGCATTGTGATGGGTGATGGGTTTCGTGATGTTGGTAAAAGCGCTGGCCGACCGTACCCCATCAAAATAATTCGCTGACTTCCAACCCCTATAACTACCTTACGAAAACGTCGGATGGCTTTATAAATTGGGGAAATAAATGATTAAGTATTTACTTACAACTAGTGAAAATTTGAAGTTTCTAAAACTACAGGAGTATAACTGTAATAGCACCCTGAAACTAACTGTAATCTACCCTCTCCGGGAAACCCTAACCCATATTAAAAAATTAACCCCAAACTGTAATGAGCCTCATTACAGTTCCCCCCATGGGTTAGGGGGTGGAAGCCCTAGTACGACGGCTAATTTAGATCCTGCTGTACCCTCTCAGCCCTCCGAAACCTCACATTCGCCTCATTTTCAGCTCACTTCTGATCCTGACGATTATAACGAAATCCTTAGAGACCAACCGCCTACTCCTCTACTTAATCCAAAAGAAGACGAATTCGACTAATCTAACCAATCAGACCCTTCTGATATTAAAGACGCTGGCCAATCTAGCCAGATACAGCCTTTCGTGCTTATTAATAACATAAATTTCGACCCTTCCGGTTACGAACCACTAATATCGACTAAACGCTGACGTTCTGATTCAGATACTAGCTAAGACTATAGTAAAGCTAAGCGCCCTTATATCAACCTCACAGCGTTTATATAGGCCTTCCTGCTAGATTAAAGCATACAAAAGCAGCTAAAAATTCTAATATCCTCTATTCTACCTGCACTATCCGGCTATAATCAGCTAGCTAGCTACCCTTTCGAGAGCCAATTTCGTTAAGCTATACAGATTGAATTCAATAAGCTTATAGATATACGTGTATTTGAACCAATAAGCGCACATCTAGTTACACACGCACACCAGACGAATTGCAAAGGTATTGACTAATCAGATTGTCCTCGCCACTAGTTTATCCTAATACGATAGGTATTCGCTTATAAATCAGACGAATTAGGCTATCTCACACGCTTCAAAGCTCGTTTATGTATACGTAGAGACACACAAGTTCCTAACGACTAAGACGCTCGCACTAGCATACTCGCGGCTAGAACGTTTCGCACGCTTATCGCGATTATCACACGATTTAACCTTAAAACCTTCTAGATAGATACTATTAACGCCTTCCTAAATAGCTCGCTAAAGGAAGAAGTTTACTGCTAATATCCCCTAGGATTAGGCAGGAAATCGATAGTTTTACGCTTGCATAAAGCAGTATATAGCCTACGAATCGCTAGTAAGCGATAGGAAGATAATATTAAAGAGATGCTGCTCTTACTTAGATTTAAGCCTTACCCTGATAACCCTGCCCTTTATACCGATAATCGTATAATTATTATAGTATTCGTCGATGATTTCCTTGCTGCCTATCACAAAAGTAAGAGTTCGCACGCTTAGCAAATCAAAAGACTACTCTCAGAACGATTCGAAATAAAGGATTGCAGCGAACTGATATAGTTTATTAGTATTCGAATCGTACGTAATCGATCTAAACGAAAGACCTAGCTAAATTAAGTAGCCTATATTGAAAGGATAGCTGCTAGATTCAACCTGCTAAACAGCTAGAAAGCCCTAAAACTGCTACTTCCAGCTACACAAAAGCTTAATCTAATTCTGACAGAACTAATCGACCCGAAGATTATTAAGCTATATTAACAAAAGTATGGATCTACTCTTTTCCCTGCTGTTTAGACCCGACTAGATACTGCATTCGCTAACTGATTACTAGCTAAATCGCTTACTCGCTGTAATAAGAAGTATTTAGTAGCTATCGACTATCTGATATTGTATCTTTATACTACGAGATACCTTTCGCTCTGCTTTAATAGCGAAATAAGAGCTTCTATCTTCACTACCGCCTCAGATACAAGCTTTACTAACAATCCTGACCGAAAGAGCTCTAAAGGATTTATCTTCTGCTTATTTAGTGGCCTAATTAAATAGAAATCGCGTAAGCAGAAGACTATCACTACGTCGACTACAGAAGCCGAATTGTTAGCTATTAGCTACGCAGCTAAGTAGCTATACTAGATTAAACGCCTCTTTTCCTTTATCCAATTCGAAACTGACTAATTAGATATAATCGAATGCAATAATCAGCAGACAGTTGATTTGCTCACGCGCGAGAAATCAATATTTCAGACCAAACTTCGTTATATTGATATCTACCAGCTTTAGATTCGCCAGGAAGTCTAAGCTAGACGATTGCGAATTGAATAGGTCAAATCAGCCGAAATAATAGCCGACGGCCTTACGAAGCGCTTATCTGCAGAAAAATATGCCGCCTTTGTTCAATAACTAGGTATAGAGATCTTACCTGCAGAGGAATCCCCTTCCTTCTGATATCTCTTATTCAGCTCTCACTTTGACCTTACATTGAGAGCTGAGGGGGTGTGTCGATATAAGTAGGTGTATAAGCCTATGCTATCGAACTTGACAGAATGCGACGGAACGTCTACGTGACGATGATCTTCAACGATTAACATCAACAACTTGCACATATAACGAAAGAGCTTCAACACTCTATTTCTTCTGATTTCTATGAGATTCTAGTCTGACGCATTGCCTTGATTTTATGAAGTTATAAATATTGCCTGCTTTCCATAGCTAGTTGAATCAAGTTTAATGATTGTGATGAAGTTGGAGCATTCTTCTATTATAAGTTAACTTCCGATTCTGAGCCGAATCGTACGACGACCTGACCTGACCTATACGATTCTTCGCCAATCGTATACTGATTTGACTAACCGTGCACACTCGCTTGCTTGTGCACGCCGAAGGATTTATGCTGACCCCGTAAATCCGACAGTTTCTATCAACATAAGTGGGTATATAAGCCCCTAAGTGTTATAATATACCCTAGTATAAGGTTATTCCTAAGTGTTAGTGCTGAGATCTCGGGACCCTAGAACCTTTTTCCTAAGGCTTCCACTCGGCCAAGGCCGGACGGCGGCAAGCGGTCTCCTCCTTTCTGCCACTTCCGTGCACGTGACATGCTATGTATTTAGTTCTACGTTAGGAGACAATACAACCTCATGCACCCTTTCCCCTATCATAGACCACAGTACTATACGATTAAACTATAGATGCTAGCGGTGTTATCCCTAATCCGGCGTTATTGCTAATAGGCGCACCCGGCTTCCGATCGCCGATACTAGATAACCACTAAAGCCTATATACTAGCAATATAAGCAAGTTTTCCGAATAGACCTGTCTTACTATACAAAACATATACTAAACTAGACTAATACTATGTCAACATGTGGATATGCGATACCCCGCACTAAGCGTGTAGATAAGCAATACACATCGGACCAATCGGATATCCACCACTACACGATACGATGATAAGATATCAACTATCTTATCAAATGGAAAGAACAACGAGTTTCCTAACACTCTCGTATCCCCCATGTTACTCTGAGAGTTTTATCTGACTTTTTCCTTGACATTCTGCTATGTACCTAAAGTTATAAATACTGCCTGTTTCCCTAGTTAAATACAACAAGTTTGACACCATTTTCACTTACCAATAGAGCTCAAGGCAATTCTGATTAAACTGCGTTGACCTTCCACTGTTCAACCTGTTTGCTGCCGACCCACCTCTATTGCACTTTCGTCTCTCTTCCATAATCGTGGTATTCGATCGACCTGTGTGCGCCTCTAAGCACACCCCAGGGTTTATGCACACGGCGTAAAACCGACATACTACTCCTAGCAGCTTAACTTTAAGTCCCTGTATTACCGGCCGTAGGTATATTCAGGAATATCTATCTAAGATATCTCTACCTATACTTACGGTTATTAGATATAATCTACAACAATATACCCTCTACTCTACATAGTGCTTCCGCGTTTACGTTGCGGTAGCTTAAGACAAGATATTGTCTATATATAGTGATACTCGTAAATATACAGGTGCTTTAAATATAATATAAGTAGTATACCTTAATATTAAGATTATTTAGTTACTATAGACTGTATATTAACTTAGTAGTTAAGTACTATCTTATAACTTAAAGCTCGGCTAATCTAGATCTAAGTCCTATTACCTTAATCGATTTAAAATTATCTTTTTAAAGCACTATAAACGCTAAAACCTGCGTGTTTATAGGGGCTACTAAGTTTTTCGCGATCTTGCTAACAGGGACTAAATATAGGTAAGTACGTACCTCTAACACCCTTTCCTTTCTATTTCCCTCTCCTATCTTACTATCCTAGTATATAGTATAGACTGCACTGTTCTCTCGAAAAATAGGTTCTTATTATAGGTTAGGCTAATTTATAATCACCTTAAATCTAGTAAGCGTCTATAACTAAAAAAGCGTTAAAGTTATACTCTATTCTATCCCCTTAAGATTAATAGTAAGAAACCCACTTAGAGTCAGGCCGAGCAGAAACTAAGGTCTACAAAATTAAATAAGGCTCTCTCTATAATATAAGATAACCTTGCTTTCTATAGTAATCTGTTATATACTCAATAAACGCTATACCTATTTTAATAAGAACACTAAGGACTTCGAATCTATATAAAGAGGGCAAACGTAAATACTATAGAAGTCTTCTATAGATATATTATTTAGCCTCTTAATAAATATCCGAATATTATATATCTAATCAATCCTGTATAAAGATATATTTACGCCAAGCCTAGAGGACATTAGACCGACTAGCAAAACTTTACGTGATAAGTTACTGCTACAGCAGTCTAGGACGTCCGTTAACGATAAAGCTCCCTAATTAA